TAAGACCTGTATATTGCATGGATATATGATCTCAGACTCAAATAGAGACTAGTGGAGGCCTAATTTAATTAAAAGCATAGGCTTAAAATCCTTAGCACAGGGCCTAGTACATGGTAAACACTCAACTGGTACTACTACTGTTATTTTTCCCTGAATCTTTCAATTTGTTTCTTAATATTCCAAGTATATTAAGAATCTTAAGAGTATGGTCCATCGCCAGGTACTGTGGCTCACGCCTGTAATCCTAGCACTCTGGGAGGCTGAGGTGGGAGGATCACTTGAGGCCAGGAGTTCACGACCACCCTGGGCAATAGTGAGACCCCATCTCTACAAAAAATAGAAAAATTAGCTGGGTGTGGTGGTGCATGCCTGTAGTCCCAGCTACTGGGGAGGCCGAGGCAGGAGGATCACTGGAGCCCAGAAATTCGAGTCCGCAGTGAGCTATGACTGTGCCACTGCACTCCAGCCTGGGTGACAGAGCAAGACCCTGTATCTAAAAAAAAAAAAAAAAAAAAAAAGCATTTTAAGTGCTCAACTCTTCACTAAGTGTACTAAATATTAGACACTAAAAACTTGTGAGGAATTTGAGTTAATTTTGTTTTTTTTCTCTTCTTTTCTCCATCTACTAGCTGGATATGAACCTGAATGAGGAAAAGCAGCAACCTTTGAGGGAAAAGGACATCATCATCAAGAGGGAGATGGTGTCCCAGTACTTGCACACTTCCAAGGCTGTGAGTCCTGGGGCAGGTACCCATGACCTGGGAGACTGTGCCCTCATCTTTGACCTGTTTTGCCCATTTTATGTAACATTTTATGTCTACATCAGTTCTATTCGTTCCATTATATAAGCCTACTCATTGTTTGCTCTCTTATTTGAGTTACCATTCTTACCGACTTTGTTGCCTGATTAAATCTTCATGAAGTATGTATGGGGAGTGGCATAGGCAATTCTGAGTCTTATGTAGTTTAGTGGTATGTATGATGGGTGTCTGCCCTGATGTTATTTAAACTGAATTAACTCATATTAGTCCCCAATTTATGACTGAGTCCAGTGTTTACTAATCTCTTTATCCTGTCAAGGGCATGAGCCAAAAGGAGAGCTCCAAGTCTGCCATGATGTACATTCAGGAGTTGAGGTCAGGCTTGCGGGATGTGCATCTGCTCAGCTGCCTGGAGTCCCTTCGTGTGTCTCTCAACAACAACCCTGTCAGGTGAGCATTCGGGAGAGGTAACAAGAGTAGGAGCCCGC